CCACCCTGCCCCCTAGGGGCTGAGACTGTAATGACACAGTGAGTCCCCTGCTCAAACTGAACCAGATGCCAGGATTTTCTTTGGTGAGTGAGTGCCCGGTAGGAGAGCTTTTCTGAAGGAATTTGGAAAAATCAATATGTTGTTCTTTAAAAGAGGATTTTTATGATCAAGAACAAGTTGTTTCATCCTTCCTTCACGCCTCACCAGGTAACTGGAGATGCAAGAGGCTGGGACATCTCCCAAAGCCTGAGGTAGCTGACAAGAGGGTTGACCCAACCCCCACTATCTCCATGTTGAGTTCACCCCCCTTTCCTCCATAAAAAATTGCTCTTAATAGCTCTGGTAAATTTAAGCCAATGTGTTCCTTCTCTCAGATTTATTTACACATTCAGCCTTCACTCTAATTGTGGAAATGAAGTCTTTTTTCTTTCTGGGTTAACTCATTTTAGACAATGAGTAGGTGGCAGAGGGCAGGGGTACCTCTCTCCCTTGCCCTTGGAAATCCCACCTCAGCACTGGCTGAGTGAAGGTAAGTCAGGTAGGTCTCACTCCTGACAACAGCAGCACTTTCTTTTATGTAATACTAACAGTCATGTGCATTTGGATTTGTTTTTCTCAAGTGGAATATGACAAAAACCAGAAGTACCTTTTGCCCAAGACGCAAAGTTCACCACCAAGCAGGGTGAGTCTGTCCATCAGGACACTAGATTCTGAAAGCTGTAGTGCCCTGGTGTCTTCTTTAGTCCACGGCTAACTTTAGACCTACTTAGGCAGTGACGTTGCCAGTGGTGTCCCCTTGAGAAGTTTTCAAGTTAAGGAAAAGCTGATGAAGGCAGACAACTCCAGGAGCAGGTAGGGTTGGGTATTCAGCATCTATCTGGGAAGCAGGGTTGGGAAAACTGAATCTAGGAGTGACCTGGCACACAAGGTGGGTCTGAGAGGTCGGCTGGTCATATGAGGAATCACCTGGGGAAAAGACCAGCTGTTCTCAGCCTTCTCTGGGGATGGAATAGAAATAGGTCTTGAGTATGTGAGGCAGCGTCCGTGTGGGTGTGTTTGGGGGAGAGGGATCGGGAGGTGGGCGGGGATACACTAGAGGCAGTGACACTTCACAACCTACAGGCTGTTTTACATGACCTTTGCAAAGTCAACGACACTTGAGGAGAAACAGCTCATGCTTAAGTTGCACAGGTGACTGAACTGTTTAGTTTCTCTGGTGATTACTTAGGTGCACAGAGTAATTCTAGAAGAATGTAGAGAAGGGATGGGCCTTTGAATAGCTTTAGATGGAAGAATTTGAGATAGGTCTTTGACAAACACAGAAAAGTTGAATATATGTATTTCTGAAGAGGGCAGATCAGGCAGGGGGCTGAGGTTGGGATGGAGAGGGAAGATCTTCCTCCCATGATTATTCAAACAATGGTTACTCAAAATGTGGGCATGTAAGCACAATTATCACAGGTTTGGGAACTCTAGAGACTGGGTGGAGAAATCAGCTCCTCTACTTTCTAGCTAAGTGATCTATGGCAAGTTTCTAAACAACAGAAGCCTCCTTTTCTCATGAAAGAGGAAGCAAGCCACCAACTTTGATGGCTATAAAGAGCAGAGATGATATATATGTAAACCTCTCAACACAAAGGCTGCCCATTAGTCAATACTGGGAAGGTTTAATAATAACATTAAAAATAAAACAATAAAGGCTTAGATAAGGGTAGGAAGGAGGTATTTTAAGGACTTGGGGAGAGTGCTCCATGACTACCAGGAAGCCACCAACTTTACCTTGTCACTCACTGAGGTTTCAGCTTCCAGGAAACAAAACAAACAAAAAATGCTGTGAACAGATGTGAAAGTCTGTTGACCTTGATGTGTCTCCCTTGCTGCTAATTTTTTATCCTTTCACATCCTTTCAAAGCATCCCTTTTTATTTAAATTAGAAGAGTGTTCACACTGCTTAATCTCTCATTGACTTCTTTTTGTTTTCCTCTAGCAAAAATAATAAACCCTTTTTATGTGCATTTAAAAAACTTGCACTGGAACATATAAGCTAGACAGCATGGCTTTTAAGTGACTATAATGGGACTCTGGCATTTATGTGGATAAGAGAATATTCAGGAAGACAACTATTGACTGATAAACCACGAAAATCTCTCCTGCTTCTTTGTCTCAGGATACAGCAAGGATAAGATGCCCTTGAACACATCAGGGAAATAACCATTTCATCAAGATTCCCAGATCAATAAGTGTCTGCAAGCAGAAGGGAATGGGCGCCTGGTTAGGAGAACAAAAGATAACAAGGGTCAAACTATGGTGGTAAATGCCACTCCACACCAGCGGAACTGTGAGCTGACAGCATGCTTTCGCCTTGGCTGGTGTCAAGCCGGAACCACAGAGATACACGGAAACTTTATCCAGGAGAGAAAACAACAGCACAAACCTACAAGAGCTAAACCATCTCTCAGTGGTAGGCACAGCAGGGAAGGCCCCCCCCCACCCCGTGGTCTCAGGTTGGACACCACCATGGTCCAAGCCCACTCAAGGAAGGATCTAGGCCTCACTGGGAGCAGAAGAGATGGAGAGGGCTGGAAAGCTCTCAGAATGAAAAAGACAGATACAGTTTCCGCCCCGACAGCAGGCCAACTTGTTGGACTGTTTGAGAATCTGCAATGGGGTAGACACTAACTTTGCCCTGGAAAATCAAAAATGGAGGCAGCACTTCCTTGAGAAGCTCATCATCCAGAGACAAGACAGGGACACCAGCTCGCTGGGGCAGGGCAGTTGCTCATGCATGTTGCCCGCCACTTGATGGCACACAGAAGATGGGGTGCTTGGGTCAATTAGTTGTGTGACCTTGAGCAATTGACTTCCCCTTTCTGAATGCCAATTTTCTCATCTCTAGGATGAATGCCTGGACTACATGCTCCCCAATGCCCTTCTAACCTTAAAAGCTATGATGAAATTTATTTCTCTCCTTGAAAGCTCTTGGGTAGCTTACTCCTTCCCCCCACGTCACTCCCCCACCCCCTTTAAAAAAAAAAAAAACAAAAAAACCCTGTCTTCCTCTGATGTTGGCTGAGGCCAGTTCAATCAAAATGTTGGAAGGTAGCATCATGGAATGACATAGACCTCAAAATAAAAAAGGGACAGCCTTAATGAGTGGTTAACGACTAAGATAACAGAAGCATGTGACTGCTCGGGGCCTATCCAAAGTGTCCTAGTTGGAAAGTGGCTCCTGGCTTGAACAGCAAACATGAACTTGTGCAATCTGAGCTTTGGGACACCCGCAATGACAGAGGAGAAGAACATGATTTGAGGACCACTGAGCTAGAATACACATAGCACACAAAGTAAATTTGGGGTTTCCGTGGACCTGCATGGGAATAGTAGCAAAAAGTGGTTTTTAGGATCCCCTTCCTTAGCACTCATAAATGACTCAGATTGGAGAACCAAACTCAAATCCATTAGCCACAGCAAATGGGTCCGGTCGTTCTCGTGAGAGGTACAATGGAAGCGACCTGGCCTCGAGGGGTTCCCGGAAACACCCTCAAAAGAGGACATATGATTAGAAGCACCTTTGACCCAAATCACTTCACTCAACTTCCAGTTACTTAGGGAAAGATCAAAGCTAAGGCCAGGAGCAGAAGCCGGGCCTCTGTGTCCTCAGGTGCAGCGTTAGCACAGGTAGCTGCCATGATACTATTTTTCCAACCGTCCTTTAGTGTAATAAAACCCAACTGAATTTCCTGCAACAGGATCGATTTCAGTTCAGCATATTTGTGTCCGATTTACTCCCTGTAGGGTGTTTCAGAGAGAGCAGATAGAGATAAGTCATTGAAATGGCTTGAGGCAGCCTCCAAAGAGCACAAATGTTCATGTTTAGGGAGAAAAGTTAAGTCCCCCAGGAAGATAATGAGGCAGGTAAATCCAAGCTTACCAAAGGGCAAAATGAAAGCATGGTTACCCATATCACAAAAACATTTGGTGAAGGTCCCTAAGACATTAAGAGGAAAAAATCAAGTTACAGAAAAATGAGCACAGAATGATCCTATTATCTATCTATTTATCTATCTATCTATCATCTTATTCATGTGTAGAAAGGTATAGAAAGATACACAACTATCCACAATTTTACTTCTAAAGAGCATGGAGAATTGAGGTTTTGGGGGGCTTTTGCTGCCTCCCTGTCTCAGTCTGATCCCCAACTGCATTCTGCATCCTCCTGTAACATTTTATTTTCTTAACATCATAAATTTGTATGTGACTTAGATAATTAAAATCAAGCATTAATGTGTTCTTTAATTTCCCAGAAGAACTAATAATTTGGACTCCAATTCAATTTTGAGAGATTTAGACGACAGGACCACGCCCAAAACATAAATAATATACACCTGGCAGAGCATGCCCGCCCCTCCCTTTCTGCATTCTCCTTAAGATGTGATTCGCCACTATGACAGGCACTGCATCCTTCCAGAATGTGTTTGGCAGACGCCTTAGAGATACCGCTGAAATGACAGATTATTAAAGCAGCACACCTGAAACCTTTAAAACAGCCCGCTTCTCCCTTCAGCCAGTCCTGGCTAGGTGCGGGCTGGCCCCAACACAGCTCCAGCCCCATAGCAGGACCCTTTCAATACATTTTAATTAACTTACAGATTTAGGTGGGGGGGAGAGAGCAAGACAATGAAGGTGAGGCTGGGGGCCAAGAGGCACGTCTCCCACCCAAGAAACAATTTTAAAAGCAACAACAATCAAGAGAGACACACACCCAGGAGCTCGGCGGTACAACACTCCAGAAATAGGCCATGCGTCCACACCGGGGTTCCATGAAAAAGGTCCTTAAATGAAGTCTCCCTGCCATGGTACCCCAGACTTCACAATACAGAGGGTCTCGCCCGAAGAACATGTCTGCCCGGCTGTCATTGATCATCTCCCATCAGGTAGCCGAGCCGGCAGCGCCCTTCCAACTTCTGCGACCACGCACAGGGATCGATATTTATAATTACCTTTCTCCTTCACCATGGCAACCGGTCCTCCGGCGAGCAGCTGGGAGAGAAAGAGGAATCAAGTCTAGGAGTGTGAGCGAGCCTCGCAGACAGATTTGCGGCTGCAGAGACTGCAGGGAAGAGCCCCCGGCATCCACTCGCGAAGACTCCGGCTTCTTTCTAAAATCCCGCCCCCATCTCGGAAGGCCGAGCCGGTGCCCGCCCCGCGATCGCGCCAGCGCCGGCCGCGCCCTGCGCGGGGACTCTGCCCTTGGGCCGAAACCACTCGCCACAGCTGCTGCTGCTGCTGGTAACAAATGCAAAATTCCACTATCCTAATCTCGGGTCACCGACACCACCTTGCATTCCTCAAGCCCGGGCCCGGGGAAAAGGCGCAGCAAAATGCTCCGCGCACCGGCCCCCTCCCCCGGGTCTGATAAATGATTGCCAGAGCGCGCGCGGGAGGGGCGGGCAGGGCAGGGAGGCGAGGACGTGCCAGGGACTCTTCCAATAAGTCAAACTAGTCAATTGTTAGTTTATCACTTTCCTGTTCCCGCGGCTCTCCATTTTTATCACAGCTTCCTTCAGACCAAATAAATAAATTTAGCCTTAGGGGAAAAATAGACAAATAATGCCAGTGGCTCCTGGAAGTTGATTTTCTTCAACTTTGAAGGCCCTGGAGGGTCAATTATAATGAAATAAAGACATTTGTTTTACCCTGCTGCTCCCCTCTATAGTTTACCTGCATTGGGTAAACTAGACCCAATGCCTGCCTCTCCTGCTTCATGAAGGTTTTGCATAAGCTCCTTGGATAGGCACATGGGGGACAGGTACCCTGGTTGTGAAGTGAGCAGCAGAGGGCACACCTGCGCTCCTCGCCAGTCTGAACCAGAAGCAGTGGCTCCCAGGAGGCTTTTGATTTCTGACTTGCAGGGTCAAGGTCAGGCTCCTGGGCCAACACCCACCCCAAATCCAGCACCTGTCTCCCAATCCATGATGGACACCACACCCCCTCCAGCCCCCAACACCAACATCATCACACGGCATATACATCCACCATGTGGAAGCAACGTGGTGAGCAAGAGACAAAAAGACAGACGTAGCCCCATTCCGGGAGCACAGCAGATGGCCAACACATCTTTCAGAACCAGAATGCACAGCCAGCATTAGACTTTATTTACTGCAAATATTGTAACGTGTTGGGTCTAAGAGAGCCGGGGTAACAGAAAGGAATGAAGCCAATCAACCTGCCTCATCTTTGACTCAGAGGTTGTTGATAGCCGAAATAAACTACATTTGGTGGGGTTGGAGAGCCCTTTCTCGCTGGTTTTCTGATGGTTAACAGTAGCAGAGCTCAAGCAGCTGTGACATTCCTACATCTGTGACTCAGGGCTTTCCTATTAATAGCTTGGGTGTCTCAGCCTGTAATAAGGGCTAAGTCCCCTCCAACCCCTGGGTTGCCTTTTCAGTGACACGTACTTTGCCCACACTACTCCCTGCCCCCACTGCAACCCTGGAGGGTCAGGTTTTTCCTAAGTCAGCGGCCAGCTGGAGTATAAGCACTGAAGAGCCTTTAAGCGGCTTCTCTAACCTCCATTCATAAATATGAGCCAAGCATGAGAGCAATATGAGCAGGAGTCCAGAGGGAGGGAATGGCTAAAGGGCACAGAGGACACTAGCCTCTACACCCCCAAATCCTCATGGCTGGGGCTGCACTTGTCTGCTTCTCCTAACTTATCGTCCTTAATCAGATGCTGACAAGCAAAATTAATCTCAGAGAGCTCACATTCCTTTGGTGCTGTAAGCACAGCAGGTGAATTCATTTTATTTTTGCTGCACAAATAGATTAGCACCTTACTTAGGCACTTGTTTTCAAGATTTTCACATTATTCAGCTAAAAGCTAAGGGAACAGTTTATTCTCTTTCCTCTCACTCCAGCACCCAACCCCCCCCACCCATTTCTCTCCCTTCTTCAAGCAATGTGACCATAAAACACCACTGGGTGTCTAGCCAAAAGCAAATCATACATAAGTATGACTTTGGATACTATGAACTCAGTTACTCCCAGTTCTTTTACTCAGGATGACAATTTTTAGTCCTGAGATTTAGGTTTATTAGCCAGATGGTCTCATGTTGTAGTTCTGAACCTACCTGCATTCCTCTGTGGATAAACTGCACAGGAACCCTGCTCTAGAAAGGCTCTCTGGCAGCTTTGGAGACAAACCAGCAGAGTAACAGCTGGCGCCTATTCATTTTCAGCGAAGTCTTTTCTAAAGGAAAATACTACATAGTGGTTCAGAGAAATCCCCCCTCCCCCTGTGTTTTCCATGGAAAGAATTTTCCTGTCCACAGTCAAAGGGAATGAGTCACCAGCATTTAGTTGCTAAATAACAGTCATATGGCTGAAGTCCCCCCAACAATTGGACACGGCCACTTTAGGATAAAAGCATCCACTCTGCACTTTTCTGATAACCAAAGAGGGTATTACTAAAGTTATTTTTGGAATGTGAGAGAGTAAAACCAAATTGTTTTTGTCTCCTTGCCTTAGGGTGGAATAGTTAAGAGCTTGAGAACAGAAGCAAGGGGTAGGTATTTTCTGCTTTATGGTTAAAGCTATAAGAAATGCAGAAAAATATATTTTCCTGAAAAAAAAAATGAAAAAGGCACAGTTCATAAGACAGCAGGAATTTTTATTCATATTTCTAGACATGATTTCTAAAGCACTTATCTCAACCTCCTTCCACTACAGTGAGATAAGACTTCCGAATACCGACACTAGCCCATGGTTTTATTCCAGATTTTATTCTCTCAGACCCACTCACTGCTGCCTTCTCATTCTCCCACAAAATGAAGCAAGGCTGGGCCACATAGACTAAAGGACAGAAACCATTTTGTTGGCGAGTGAAGCTTTGTGAGCACACAGCCACTCTTGGCAAAAATTCAAGAGTACATCATTTCAACAGAATCCACGCCAATTAAGAAGGAAATGTTACATCCAGAAAACAAGCAGCCTGATGGGTTCCACTTCCTCTTGCTCCCTCTCCTCAGAAGAGCTACGACTGCCTCCTGCTTATGCTCCTGTAAAGCAGGCCCCTCAGGACCCCAGGTATCACACACCCCTGAATACTTTTGGACTCACTGGCAAAACAGTGCTTGAAATTCTTTCTGGCAGAATTCAGCTGAAAGAAAACTCTCGAATTAGTTCCTTATTTGCTTTCTGTTTATGTTTGCATCTATCACCCTCACCACAAACATTTATGGAGCATCTACTGTATGCCAGGTCCTGGGTTCGCACAGAAAAGCAAGAAGGAGAAACTACGAGTTGCTTACAGCTAGTGGAGGGGATGTAAACACTCTCAATGAAACTGGGAAGTCGCTAAGAGAGAAGCAAGGTGCACAGAGCAATGTTGAGCCCAGTGGGGAGACGGGAGAGGTTTGCAGGAGGCATAAGAAGGCCAAGTAAAGAAAGGGAAAAAAGATCATTCCAAACAGTGGTAATGGGGCAAGAGGATGTCGAGTAGTTCCCTGTTCCTGGGGGTACCAGGAGAGGCTCAAGCTAGCACCAGAGCGGAAAGTCACAGAGGATTCCACATGCCACACAAAGGAAGTGGACCTTAGAAGTGATGTGGCCGGAGTCTCAAACCCGAGTTACCTACTTCTTTCCAAATTAAGTTCAAAACACTTGGGATGCACTTCAAAGTCGGCCATGGTCTTTTACCAAGATTATCTCCTTCCAATTGGGTGTGCTGGGGTATGTATGTCCCATGCATATGCTTATTCGTTTATCTAAATACTTCCCTGATAACTAGATAAAGGGATAGCCATCTCACACCCAGCTTTTTGAGTACACAAGAAGTCTGGGATTGGCTTATCCTTTTGTAGCACTGGCTACATATGCACCAGGGTGCTGGCAGCTCCATGAAGGCAAGAACGATTGCTTCCTCTCCTAGACTCTTCAGAGCTCAGTCTGCAGACCTCCAGGGATAGAGAAATATGAGGGGTGCTTTAATGCAGACACTGGATCCTACCCAAGGTCTGATGACTCATATTCTCTGGGGGTGAGGCTTGAGTCCAGTGGCCCCGTAGGTGGAGGCCTGCATAACAGGAGGTGAACGGTTGTGAGGTTTATAAATATGGCATAAGCCACACCACCACAGATAAAAAAACAAACCCTAGCCTCTCCACTGGCCAGAATAATAAGCAGCCTTTCACTGCACTCTTAATGAAAATTAGATAGAATAGACGATTTTGGAGACTTTGATGTTTCCTGAAGGCCAAGACAGATTCTTCAATGTTTGAGCCCTATTGAATCTCATGTTCTCACCAGAGAATTCTTAGAATTTTTTCCATATGAATCTTACAGAATCAATGCTCAACAAAGTCCTTTGCCATAAGTTCTTAAAGTGGAATTGTTTTATATTTGTATCCAAAGCCCAGGTCCTGAAAGAATTATTTTACATTTATACGCAAAATCCACGGTCCTTCTCAGAAGTCATTTCTGAGTTTGGATCTAAACAACAGGTTGCAGCTTTAGAAAATAACAAAAATACTAAGGTCTCCCTGAAAACCCTTATGAATAGTCCATTCGATATAAACTGAGTGAGCATAAAACAAGCCACACGTGTAATAGAACCCATCGACAGAATCCAAAGGCTCTTCTGATAATAAAGGGAGTTTCATGGATGTTAGCCTAATTTCAGGCACATGAAAAGTACAGAAATGTCTCTGAATTATTTGGGAAAGGCCATTTTAAAAAACAGTTTACTCTTAGTGATATTAAGCAGAAATACAGTTATGAGGATAGAAACATAGACCTATCACCTGGAACCTCAATGCCTTGTCTGTCCACACTTGCTTCTTTCTGGTACTCAATACCACAGTCCTCTGAACTTGACTGCTGCAATGAAGGATTTACATGTCTATTTTTGCAAAAGGTTGTGGGCTCTCAGAGGGAAGGGATCACGTGTGAACTCTGCAGTCACAGTAATAGGTACAAAGTAGGAGTGCAACAGTTGACGAATACTAGACAAATGTCACTGGCTTCCCGTAGTAGGCCAAAATGCAAGATAAGCATTCATTTTTTATAGTCAAATAGACTAGATTACATTTAAAATAACTTGACTTAAAAATCTAACTCAAATAAATTAAAAATGAATTCAGTCACTTATATGTAAACCAA